CTGGGAGATGAGCTGTCGCAGTGCAGGGAGGGCGAGTGGGGTTGGGAAGAGCCCACGATGGTCAGCGATGGGGACATCCTCTCCTTCGTGCAACCAGCACCCATCCTGCAACAACAACTGTCCTTAATCCCAAAGGCCATCCCAGGGAGAGACCTGGTCCACCAGCCCAGGCTCCAGAGACCCTGAACCCCCGGAGTCTGTGCACGGAGGGATGGGAAGAGTCCCCTCCTTCAGCACGGAGGTGCAAATCTGCTGGCATGTGAGGGCACAGCCCCCATTTCAAGGCACTTCCCAGGAGCTCCCCACCCCTGCAGTGTGAGGGACCTTCCCAGGAACATCAGCCACCCCCTGTCCCAGTGCCCCCGGGCTCTGCTCCCCCCCAGCTCTTACCTGGTGGCCAGGGCAGGGTCACCAGCTGGGCTGCCCCTCGCTGGGGCTGATCTGCTCCAGGATCTGGCTGTACCTCCGGGTGAGGGCGTTGGTGTCCCTGGTGAGGTGGGTGAGGACCTGCTGCAAGCCGGCCAGGTGGTGGGACAGGCGCTCCTCCAGCTGGGCATCCATGGTGTCGTCGTCCGAGGATGTGTCGGTGTTGGCATCGGCGTCGCTCTGACTCTGGTCACTGACAGAGGCCAGGCCTTTCTCCACCATGGGCTTGATGGCCTTGAGGAGCTGGTAGCGCTCGTAGAGGTCCGTGGGGCCGCCTGCGGCCGGGGCCGCCCCCTCCTGCTGTGGGAAGACCCCTCGGAGCAGGCTGGGGAACATCACCTCCTGCTCCATCTTCTGGGTGGCTGAGAAGTACTGCTCCATGGCCGTGCTCCTGCGTGTCTGACAGCGCTGCTCTGGGCTCTTCTTGGGGTGCCGCCTGCAACCCGTCCCCACCGAGGGCTTTTTATGCAGGGCCGGGGCACGTCCCTCCTCTGCTGTCCTCTGCTGTCCTCTCCTGCCAGCCCCGGCCTGGCTGGACGGCCGCAGGGATGGGCTTGGCTCCAGCCCAGCTGGGGCTCGGCCGCGCCATGTCCCTGCCTCTGTGCAATCTGTCCTGGCCCGGCCTCCCCGTGGCCTTCGCCCGAGCTGGCCGGGGGTCCCGCTGTGTCCCCATGCCGGGACCGGGGCGGCGAGGAGGAGAGGTGCCCGGGGCTTCTCCCGACCACTTGCCTGTCCCCTGACACAACCATTTGTGGGGTACCGGGAGAGCGGGGCCATCTCCTGTCCCCCGGTACAGGCAGCAGTGCTGCCGTGGTGGCCGTCACCTCTCCCTCCTCCTTGCTGCTGCGCGCTCAGGACGTGAACCCTCTGGGGACGTTGAGCAACTCCCTTCTGCAGACGTATGGAAAATGCCACTGGGATGCGCTGCCACATGGGGTCCCACGTGGGATCCTGGGGACAGAGGAGCCAGCTGGCGTCCAGCCATGGTGGTCCCCAGAAGCATCCCCTTCCCCCGGGCTGTCCCCGAGCCGGGCAGGACAGCGACAGGGATGAGGACCATGGTCCACAACTGCTGGTCTGGAGGCAGTTGCAGTGACCCGTATGGACAAATCTCACTGGGGATGCGTTGCCGCATGGGGTCCCACGTGGGATTGTAGGGACATGGGGTGGGGACAGGGATGGGACCAAACGGCATGATGTGAACCTCCTGCAGCAGTTGCATGGAGTCGTTACTGCGCGTGGCGGAGCACGGATGGTGCCAGCACCACCCCACCACCCCCATCCTGGGGCAGAGGCCATGGCTGAAGCAACTGCCAGCACTGCCTGTCCCCATGTGTCCCTGCAGGATGTGGCAATCAGGGAAGATTGTTCTATTTGAGGAAAGGCCACATGGTCCCTTGTCGCTTTCGCAACCCTTGGTGGTGGCAGCTCTCCCAATCCCCCCCCCCCTGTCCCACCAGGTGCCCATGCTGCTACCTGTCCTCTGCCCCCCTGACCCATCACCTCCACTGCTCTTGTTCCTTCCAGGGTGTCCCCAGCATTTCTAGGTGTCCTGCTGTGTGGCCCAGCACTGCTCTGAGGTGGGCAGGTGCTGCCAGCTCCATGCTCTTGGGGCATCTGGGCCACCATGGAGCTTCCTGGAGAAGCATGGACATCCTAGAGTCCCTCCAGGGTGGGCACGGTGGCCTGCATTCACCCTGAGATCAAGCTTCACCATGGAGTTCATGGAGGACACGTTGGTCTGCAGCCACTAGTGACAGCCGTCAACCTCTGCTGAGAGATGTCCTTCCCTCCGGGGACATGTGAGCAGGTGCCACTCCAGCCAGCCCCTGTGAGGGGGCCTGATGCCGTGTCTCCTCAGGACATGAGTTTCCTCCCCAGGCATGTCCTCAGCCCATGGGGGCATCTCTGACGCAGCATCTCTACCTCTCCCCAGGGCAGCAGAGCCAGGGACAGCCCAGAGCAGGGCTGTGCTCAGCACCCCGGGTCTGTGTCACCTCAGTCCCTCTGCCTCTTGGTGGTGCCACGGGGGGATGTGACAGCAGGAGCTGCCAGGGATGACACAGAGACACTTGTGTGGTCGCATTTTTCGCCCTCTGAGCCATGGCTGGGGACAGTGCCCCCAGCAGGATGATGGGTCGGGGGGAGGCTTTCCCAAAGGTGGTCTCTGTGGCAGCAGAGACCCAAGGAGCTCATTGCCCCTCCTGGGGGGCCCCCATGTCTCTGAGGAGCCTCTCCCGGGCCCCCACCTGGAGCTGGGCACCCCGTTTCAGCTCAGCCCGGCCCCAGCCCTGCCGCAGCCCCTCTCCCCCGGCTCCTGCCATTGCGGCTGGCGGTGGCTGCTCCCCCCCAACCTCTTCCAGCAGGATGTTGGGGGCCCATTTTTGGCCGATGGGGTCCCCAGAGGCACGAGGAGGGCTTGGGGAGGACTCATGTCCCAAGGACAGGGACCTGGAGAGTGACCTGGGGCTGCAGAGCCCCCCTGATGCGCTGCTCCAAGTGCTGTGTCAGCTCAGGAGGATGATGCCAAAGCCAAAATAAGGGAGCAGAGTGTCCCCTGTGTCCCCCTGCAATGTCCCTCCCAGCAGATCCACGGTGGGCCAGACCCACAACGTGGCCAAGCTCCTGGCCAGCACCTACTTGGGGCCAGCAGCACCCACACACCTTGGTGTAGTGCAGGGTCCCATGGCAGGACACCCAGGGACACCGGGGACACCCGGGAAGGGACAAGAGAAAAGAAGGCTGAGGGGAGACCTTCTCGGTTTCTACAACTCCCTGAACGGAGGGTGTAGCAAGGGGGGGTTGGTCTCTTCTCCCACGTAACAGGCAATAGAGCAAGAGGAAACGGCCTCAAGTTGCACCAGGGAGGCTGAGACTGGATATTAGGAAAAATTTCTTCACCAAGAGGGTTGTAAAGCACTGGAACAGGCTGCACAGGGAAGTGGTGGAGTCACCACCCCTGAAGGTATTCAAAAGACATGTAGATGTGGAGCTGAGGGACATGGTTTAGCGGTGGTTTGGGAAGTATTAGGTTAGCAGTTGGACTTGATGATCTTATTGGTCTTTTCCAACATAACTGACTCTATGATTCTAGAAGAGGAGCAGTGGGGACAGGTCTGGAGAGGAGAGGGCAGGTGGCAGCGCGGGCACCTGGCTGGGACACGTGGGGGTGGTGGGACAGCTGCCACCACCAATAGTTGCGAAAGGGACAAGGGACCCCACAGCCTTTCCACAAATAGAAAAATCTTCCCCGATTGCCACACACTGCAGGGATACATGAGGACAGGCAGTGCTGGCCATTGCCCCAGCCGTGGCCTCTGCCCCGGGATGGGGGGCTATGCGGGGTGGCCCTGTCCATACTCCCCCATGGGCAGCGATGGCTCAGTGATGGAACTGAAAGAGATTCATGTGATGGTATCAAGTCCTCATCCCCATCCCTGTCCTGCCCAACTGCAGGAGAGCCCGGGGAAAGGCGATGTTTCTGGAGACCACCATGGCTGGACGCCAGCTGGCTCCTCTGTCCCCAGGATCCCACGTGGGACCCCATGTGGCAGCGCATCCCAGTGGCATTTTCCATACGTCTGCAGAAGGGGGTTGCTCAATGTCCCCAGAGGGTTCACGTCCCGAGCGCGCAGCAGCAAGGAGGGAGAGGTGACGGCCACCACGGCAGCACTGCTGCCTGTACCGGGGGACAGGAGATGGCCCCGCTCTCCCGGTACCCCACAAATGGTTGTGTCAGGGGACAGGCAAGTGGTCGGGAGAAGCCCCGGGCACCTCTCCTCGTCGCCGCCCTGGTCCCGGCATGGGGACACAGCGGGACCCCCGGCCAGCTCGGGCGAAGGCCACGGGGAGGCCGGGCCAGGACAGATTGCACAGACGCAGGGACATGGCGCGT